CAACAACTCCTCATGACTTTGGCAAAGGGTCAAGAGGATCTTAAAGCACTGTTAGAGAAGGAAGAGGAAAAAGAGAAAAAGAAAAATAAAAGAGTTGGTGTGGCTACTCTGGGTAGAAGATTTGAGAACCAAGCTAGAAGGGTCATGGATTTTCCCTCAACATCTGATGAAGGGATAGGTAAAGGAAAGGGAGCTCCAGTACCATCTAAGTCTGAGGCTGAAGAAGAAGAAGAAGAGGATGAAGACTATTCTGAGCAGCAGTACCCTCCTGCAGACGACAAGTACAAGAATCTGGAAGAGCGTCTGGCGTCTATGGAGGTACAAAGAGTGCCTGGGCTGGACTTCGAAGAGCTAGGGTTGGTTGCTGGGATTGTGATTCCCCCTAAATTCAAGGTTCCTACATTTGCTAAATACGATTGTTTGTCTTGTCCGAAGATGCACCTACGGTCTTACGTCAGAAAGATCCAACCTCATTCTTCTGATAAGGATATGTGGGTCCACTTTTTTCAAGATAGTCTTTCGGGGACGCAATTAGATTAGTTTTACCAGCTTGAGAGATCTGATGTACACAATTGGGAGGATTTGGCTGCTGCCTTCTACAAACAATATCAATATAATGCAGACTTAACACCTACTCGTACTCAACTACAGAGTATGGGTATGGTCTCTAATGAAGGCTTTAAGGAGTATGCCCAGAAATGGAGGGACTTGGCTGGAAGGGTACAACCACCATTGTCTAAAAGAGAGCTTGTTGATATTTTTTTGGGGACGCTATCAGGTCCATTCTTTAATCACCTAATAGGGAGTTCGTCTGCGGGGTTCACCGTATTAATTCTGACTGGTGAACGAGTTGAGCCTGGCATCAAGAGCCGCAAAATTTAAAAAGATACATCTGCTTCCGCTGTTTACTCCCAAAGAGGTCGAGGAAGAGTGGAGCGCCGATCAGCGGTGGGGGCTGTAATGATTCAAAAGACTGCGGCTGATCATCCTAGAAACGATCAACCCTGAACCAACCAACAAAGGGGGGGAAGGCCTGCTAAACAATTCACCAAAATAAACATGACGCCTGCCCAGGTTCTCCCCCATCTCTTGAAGTTAAACCTTACAACCTTGAGAGAGCCACCACAAAATCCGAATACAACTTCTCCTTTTTACCATTCCAACGCTAAATGTGCTTATCATTCAGACGGCATAGGGCACGACACCAACAATTGTTGGGCCCTCAAAAACAAGATCCAAGATTTAATAGATGCCAAGGAGGTGGAATTCGACGTGCCCGAAAAGCCGAATGTGATCTCCTCCCTAATGCCAAAGCATGGTCACAATACCTATGCTATCGAAGAGGATCTGTATGTTTCTGTTGTTGATGACTTAATGACCCCTTTACCAATAATCAAGATGAATCTGTTGAAAGCCGGGATTTTTCCAGGCTGTGAAAAAGATTGTTACCTTTGTTCGTCCCTACAATCCGATTGTCTGTTATTGAAGTTAGGCCTCCAGCGCCTAATGGATAATCAAGAAATCCTATTTGAGAAAACTCATGTTACTCCTGTTACTCCAACTCCTATCAACGATGTTGCTATAATTACCATTTCCGCCAGTCTTTCCAAGGTCTCCAAAAGACCTGTTAAGATTACACCCAATCCAAAGTTTGTACCTCTGAAGATAACTATGTCGGGGCCTATCCCATACAATTCCAACAAGACAATACCGTGGAATTATGGAGGAGAGATCTTCTACCACATTGTTAAGCAGATTGAATCAGTGGAAGAAAATTCCGATGAAGAGACTACTGACATAGGAAATATTGCGGGGACGAGTAAGATCACTCGTAGCGGAAGAATTTTCTCTCCGTAGATTGCTCCTCCAAGGGAAATCTTCGGACTCTCAAATGCTCTTAAGGTTACTCCTATACCAGTCAAGATATATGTGCGAACTCCAGTTATTGAAGAAATTGTTACTCCCGTAGTTGTACCCTCTGCTGTTGCGGCTGATAAAGGTAAGGGGATCCAGGAAGCTCCCTTCAGGATGAGGGCTCAGCCTTTGGTCATCCCCGAGACCACTCAAAAGGAAATGGAGGAAATTTTAAAAATAATTAAGAAAAGCGACTATGATGTCGTAGAACAACTGGGGCAAACCCCTTCAAAAATCTCTATGCTCGCCCTATTGCTCTGTTCTAAGGCTCATGCCAAAGCCTTGATCAAATTCCTAAAGACGGACCACGTGCCTCAAGAAACCTTTGCGGACCAGTTCCAGGAGTGTGTAGCCAGCCTAACCGCCGACAATTATCTTGGCTTCTCCGATGTCGATCTAACATCTAAGGGGAGAAAGCATAATGACACGCTACATGTCTCGGTGGAATGTAGAGGGACTACTCTTGCTCACGTTCTGGTTGATACTGGGTCGTCTTTAAATGTCCTGCCAAAGAAAGCATTGGATAGATTGGAATGTCAAGGTTTGACCCTAAAGCCCAGCAATATCATTGTTAGAGCCTTTGAGGGTTCTAAGAGGATGGTCCACGGGGAGGTGGACATCCCAATTAAAGTGGGAACGAAAATTTTCAACTCTACATTTTATGTGATGGACATCCTTCCTTCATATTCTTGCTTGTTGGGAAGACCCTGGATTCACAATGCTGGGGCAGTCACTTCTTCTCTACACCAAATGCTCAAATACCCAGTCCAGGGGAAAATCATAATGGTTCATGGCGAGGAGGAGTATATGATAAGCCATCTTAATTCTTTCCGTTATGTGGAGTTAGATGGCGAATTCATAGAAACCCCTTTCCAACACTTTTAAGAGGTTTCTCCTGAAGTTACGGCATCCAAGACAATGACTTCTGTACCCATCATTACCAAGCATGTGTCCCGGATGTCATCCCTTAAAGATGCGAAGGTTGTGATCAAGGAAGGAGGAAGTACAGTATGGGGTCAGCTACCAGATTTTCCTTTCAAGACAGATAAGTTCGGCTTGGGTTTCACCACTTCTGCTCAAAAGGCTGGGCGCCGCTCCCAGGCTGGAGGGCGACCATTAAAGATCACTCATCATGGAGTTCATGCTTTGGAAGATGGTGAAGATGAGAGCAACTTTGAAGATTGGATTTTCCCGACTATTGAAGGAGGACTGAACAACTGGGAGGCGAAAGACTTCGTTCCCATTACTTTCATAAATCAGTAATTTATCTTTCGAACATTTCTGTTGGTCTGTAATAATTATTAAACAATTCGTACACTTTTTTCCTTGTGCCTTACCCGGGGCATATAGGTCCATTTGTAAGGGCTTGATTTTTTCATCTTCATATGCCATTTTTAATGAATCATGGACGTTTTCATATATAAACTTTTGTGTTCATTTTCTTTCTTTTTACATTTTATTTGTTTAAAGGTGGCTATCCCTTACACACACCCACACTCACAAAATGCATGTACCATTCCATTCCGGATTCCATGGGTAACAATTCTGCTATGGCCTTCAGTGACTCTGAAGATCTGGTCAATCATGCCGAATACGAAGGTGATGAAGACTGTGAAGTGCCTGGAGAGTTGGCTAGACTTCTACAACAGGAAGAAAGGGCTATTCTGCCCCATGAAGAGCTGTTAGAGACTATCAACTTGGGTACATCCGAAGACAGAAAAGAGGTTAAAGTGGGTGCAAACTGTTGTACCCCAAAATTTTCCCTCCCATATCCTTCAAAGTTTTGGGCAAGCATGTACTCAAGTTCACTCAAGGAGTTGCACAGTCAACCATCCTCCTAAGGCAGTCAAACTAGGGTTTTGGTTCCTGCAAGGAAGTTGAGGTTTTCAAGGGCTCAATCAAGTCACATATGCTCATATACATTGTCAAGCACCTACATGTCAAGTTTCAAGGCTCACAAGGTCAAGTTGCACAGTCAAAAACCCTAATTGCTCCACAGTCAACTGCAGGGGCAAAATGGTCATTTGGCAGTTAAAAGTCAAAAATTTTGGTCAACATCTTATTTTGAAGCCACAATCATCATTTGGTCAAGTCTTGACCATGATTTCACAAGAATGGCTCAAAAATCATCAAAGTGTCAAAAGTTTCTATTTTTGGACAGCTGAAAAGTCAACTGCAAATTGACCAAGGCATAACTTCTTCATGGTTTATCAGAAAAATACTATCCAATGCTCATTTTGAAGGGGATGACATTTCCTACAACTCATCTTCACACTCCAAGTCCAAGAAATGCTCTCACAAAAAATTATCAATTTCAACATTATAGGTCATTTTCAAAAGTCAACAAAAAGGCACTTTAAGTCAAAGACCATAACTTGAGATTGGTAAATCAAAATGACATGGGATCAAAGACATTGGTTAGAGGACTTCAATACCTTTCCAAAATGTCCAAGAACATGTTCATAGCTTCAAAGTTGAGCAAGATATGCATTGGAGAAGTTGAGAAATTTTTGTGAAATGGCCAAAGTCAATTATCCTTGAAACTTCATTTTTGACAAAAGGGGCCCACTTTTTCCACTTGATTCAGCTTGGCCATGCCTCCCACGTGTCCCACAATTTATTTCAAGATTAAAAATTAATTTTTCCATTTTTATTTAATTTTATTTGATTTAATTCATTTTAAATCTTTAAAATTCAAATAAAAATCAAGGAAATTAATAGAGGGATATATTTTGTGTTGAATTGCTTTGATACACCATGAAGTACATTCCAAATTCGTATACCTCCTATTATGAGCACAAAATTCAAATTTGACACAAAAATGGCAAGTTGTTTCAATGGAGTTTAAGACAAAATCAAAAGCATAATTTCATTGGTTTATTGGTCATTATATTGATGGATACTCATTACAAAACATAGAGGCAAGCTTTGGCAATACATTTTTTTTTCACGACCTAATAAAGGCTCCATCCAAATGAAACTCATCATCATGAAACCATAAGATTGTCACTTGCAGTAAAAAAAAAGGCCTCATCTCAAACACCAACCCATCTAATTTCCATTCTTCCGTTTACCTTCAAACATCATCAGTTCACCTCACCGCCGTTCTCCCTCCGTGGTACCGCTAGCTTGCCTTCATCCAACAACCAGCAACCAACAGCCTTGCCGTCACGCTCCAACAACCTCAACAACCTGGGCTCTGCCATAGCTTATTACAAACGCCGACCACGCGCAGAATGAACACAAGCTTCCACCGTGAAGTCTCCGCAAGCATCCATCAAAACCTCTCCAGTCCGCCATCATCCTCACAACCCGACCAGGATTGCACAACCGGCCGCAGTAGACCCGCACGATTCCGGCACGGAAGTCGTCGCTCCGCCATAGTCCGCAGAGCCAAGACGCTTTCATCCATGTCGTAGATCCCAATCGCCGCTGGATTTGGGTATTGTGAGTTGCCGTTGCTCTTTGTATTTTTTTTTCCAGGTTTCCGAATGCTTCACACTGGGGTCTAAAGGGAAAGTGATTAAAGGAAGAAGAAACAGATTTGTTAGCGTGATCCAGCTATGTTGTTTTATATCTTGTTTTTTTTTATTATTATTAGTTACACGCTTTTCACAATCTGGTTGGTTGAGTGAAAGGTTTGAAAAGTCAAAATCAATGTCTTGCAAAGGGAAACAACAAAAGGAGGCGTATCAAGAAAATATTAACAAATAGAAACAAGCAGCCTAATGGCCAAGTGTCCACAGATGCAAATCCAAGGGCCCAGAAAACAGGAGCACCATGCTCAGGAGTCAACAACGCTCCACTCAGTCCAAAAAGTCAAACGAGTTGAAGGTTCAAATGGACCAAAATTCAACAATGCACCCTCAAATTCCAGCCCACACCCCCTTGGGTTTAGTCTTTTTTTTTATTTTATTTTTGTCATTTTCTTTTTTACCTTATTTTTATTTCTTATTAACATAATTAACCAACTAACATTTTCATAAAAAATCAAAAAAATAGAATTAACATTATTATTATTATTATCCTCATATTATTTTTGTAAATAAAATATTAACAAATAAATAGTTTAATTAGGCAATTTCAATTCATTTTCTTAATAATTAAAATAGATTTAGAATTAGGAAAAATTAACTTTTAGTTTTATTTCTTTTTATTTTATTTCATAAAAAACATAAAAAACACAAAAATATATTTTCTTTTAATTAATTAGTTTAATTATTTAATTAATTGTATTTAATTACAAAATGACAAAAAAATCAATTTCCTTTCTTAAAAGGGTCAAAACCCTTAGAACATTCTCGATTCTTCCTTTCGCGCGCATTTTAATTTTAATTCTTTATTTTGATTATTTTTTGTAACTGCCTCCAGATGTAATAGTAATTAGGGTTTTACTGCTTTACTTTCCGTACTTATTTATCAAAACGGGTCTTTGTAATTTTTGGCGATGTATAGACCCGCGCCTTGTAATAGCGTAGGATTTTTGTTTCCACAATTTACTTTCCGCACCCCCTTAACTGCTAAACTTGCATGAAAGAATGTATGTAAATAAAAACAAGTCGTAGCTCATTAATTGCAAAGACAAACATAACATGAAAACAACACACAATACACACACCACTTATGGGGTACACCTCACTGGTTGCCTCGAACGTGGTCATCAAGTATAAGCTGGATCCAACTCAAGGAAGAACGGAATTCTCTTGAAGCCAATCTACATGCCAGTGAGAAGAAGGTCTTGGAGCTCACTCGTCTACTCCACGAGGAAAAGACTCTTAACACCTACATTGCTCCAAAGAGGATGCGCAGTGTCTTTTGGGATTAATTATTTTGTAATGTTTTGCCCATGAGGCCCTGATGTACTGAATAATTTATTTCCTAATAAAAAGTGTGTTCCTTTTTTGGCTACAACAAATTTGAACTTTCGAACCCTTGAATTCATTGCATAAATAGCATATCATGCATCATGTGCATAACAGGTACCCCTTTTCCTACAGGTTGCTTAATCTTCTTCGTTGTTTATTTCAGCACTCAAGCATCATGAATCCTGAACTCACTACCGAGCAAGCTATCAAGGCCCTCCCGGCCCAGAATGCCCAATTTCAGGAGATGGTCATGAACTTGGCCCAGGGACAACAAGAGCTGAAGGCTTTGCTCCTGAAGAAGAATAAGAAGAAGAAGAGGACTGTGCTATTCAACACTGGGCGCAGACTCGGGAATACGCTGCAAAATGAAGCTGAGAGGAATACTCCATCTGTGCGGGAAGGCAGTCATCAAGGGAGAGAGGTCCCTAGTCCTGTGGTCTCTGACACTGAGACAGACTTCAATGATGAACAGTACCCTCCTGCTGAGGATCGGTACAAACAGCTGGAGGACAGGCTAAATGCTATGGAGATTCAACGTGTGTCTGGGTTGGATTTCGGAGATTTGGGGTTATCTTCTGGGGTGGTGATCCCACACAAGTTCAAGGCGCCTGCCTTTGTGAAGTATGACGGGGCTTCCTGTCCTAAGATGCACCTCTGTTCTTATGTAAGGAAGATCCAGCCTTACACAGCAGACAAGAACTTATGGATCCACTTCTTCCAGGAGAGTCTTTCAGGGACTCATCTCGAATGGTTCTATCAACTGGATGGAACCAACATTCGTAACTGGGAGGATTTGGCCACTGCTTTTTACAAGCAGTATCAATATAATTCTGACCTCGCTCCCACGCGTACCCAACTCCAGGGTATGTCGCTAGGATCGGGTGAAGGTTTTAAGGAGTACGCACAGAAATAGAGAGATCTGGCTGGCAGGGTGCAGCCACCATTGACAGATCGTGAGCTAGTGGACATGTTCTTGGGGACCCTATTCGGTCCATTCTTCAATCATCTCATTGGTAATTCCTCTGTTGGGTTTACAGACCTGATCCTGACTGGTGAGAGGATCGAAGCTGGTATAAAATCAGGGAAGATACAGAAGGGTGCCTCCTCAAATACTGAAAAGAATCCCTTCAAGAAGGAGGCCAGTGCTGTGTACGGTCCCAGGAGACAGAATAAACCAGAACGCCGCCAAGCTGTCAACGCGGTGGTTATTTCTAAGCCTGCTGCTGCTCCTTAACAATACAACCAGCCAAGAGCTGAAGGGCCCAAGAGGCAGTATACTCGGCTCAGCATGACACTCTCTCAGATATTACTGCAACTGCTGTGAACTAGCCTGGTAACTGTCAAGGAAGCTCCGAAGATGGTAAACACAGCATCTCCGAAATACAACCCCAACGCCCGCTGCGCTTATCACTCTGATAGCCCAGGACATTCTACTGATGACTGTTGGGCCCTGAGGAATAAGGTTCAGGACCTTATTGATGCCAAGGAAATACAGTTCGAGGCGCCAGAAAGGCCAAATGTTGTGACTGCTCCCATGCCCCAGCATGGAGTGAACGCTGTTGAGGAGGATCTGTATGTAGCTTATGTGGATGATGTTGCTACTCCTCTGCTGACCGTCAAGAGGAACCTGTTGCTAGCCGGTTTATTTCCGGGATGTAGTAAAGGTTGCCATCTATGTGCTGATTCCCCTGCTGGTTGTTCTTTGCTGAAATCAGGCGTCCAAAACCTGATAGATAGCAAAGAGATCTTGTTCAAGAAGACTGTTATCCCTGCTGTTCCTGCTGCCCCTGTTGAAGAAGTTTCAATTGTGACCATTTTCAACAACCCTTCCAAGGCTCCTTCAAAGAAGCCTGTCCAAATTTTTCCTGTTCACAAGATTGCTCCTATAACCATTACTGTTTCGGGGCCCATCCCCTACAAGTCTGATAAAGCTGTCATGTGGCACTATGGGGCAGATGTTTATGTTCTGGGAGTGAAACAAGAGTTCAATACTGGTAATGGTGTCACCAATATCACCGGGCCTACTAAAGTCACTCGTAGTGGAAGACTGTTCTCACCAGACATTGCACCTCCAGTAATTCAGAGGCCTCTTGTCATCACACCTGCCAGTGTGCCCGTTCCCCCCCCCCCCCGCCCCTGATCAAGTTTCTACCCCTGCTGCCGAGTCATCTGACGCTCGGGGCAAGGGAACTGCTGCTGATGTGCCTGCCCGGACGGAGGCACCAAAGACCATTGTTGAGGCTTCCAAGCAAGAGATGGAAGAGATCCTCAAAATTATAATGAAAAGTGATTTCAACATCGTTGAACAGCTGGGGCACACCCCCTCTAAAATCTCCATGCTATCACTGTTGCTGTGTTCAGAGGCCCATGCCAAGGCCCTGATTGCTTTCCTGAAGACGCCCCATGTACCCCAAGAAACGTCTGCTGATCAATTCACCGACTGTGTGGCCAACTTAACCGCTGATAACGGTCTGGGTTTCTCTGATGCTGATCTGACGGCCAAGGGGAAGAACCATAATGATGCCCTGCATGTCTCCATTGAATGCAGGGGCACTACTCTTGCTCATGTGCTGGTTGACACTGGTTCTTCGTTAAACGTGCTACCCAAGAAGGCTCTAGACAGGCTGGACTGTGAGGGTTTAGAGCTCAAACCAAGTAACATTATTGTCCGGGCCTTTGATGGATCCAAAAGGATGGTACATGGTGAGGTTGACATCCCAATCAGGGTTGGTTCGCAGGTATTTGATTCAAAATTCTATGTGATGGACATCCGTCCATCCTATTCTTGTTTGCTGGGTCGCCCGTGGATCCACAAGGCTGGAGCCGTGACTTCAACTTTACATCAGAAGCTCAAATACCCGGTCAGGGGGAAGATCGTAACAGTGCAAGGGGAAGAGGAATACATGGTCAGCCATCTCAACTCGTTCCGATACGTGGAAATGGATGGGGAGTTCATTGAGACCCCCTTTCAACATTTTGAAGAGGTGCCACAAACATTGGCAGCAGCAGAAACAGTGACTGAAGAGGGTTCTCCTTTGAAGATGGCCTCCTTAAAGGACGCCCGGGCTGTGATCGAGAAGGGTGAGTGCGCAAACTGGGGCAGGCTTCCTGATTTTACTCCAAAAACTGACAAGTTTGGGCTGGGTTTCACTGCAGAAGCTCAGAAAGTTGTGCGCAAGGCAAGGATTGGAAGACCTCCTGTGTTCATCACCAACCCGGGAGTGAATGCTATTGAGGACGAAGCAGACGAATTTGAATTCGACAGCTGGATCTAACCGACAACCAACGGTGGACCTAGCAACTGGACTGCAAGAGACTTTACACCTATTACTTTTGTCACCCAGTAATGAACTTCTTTGTTTTTGAATTTGTAATAAACAATAATTTGAAACTTTATGGTCCGGTGTCTTACCCGGGGTACCGTGGTTTTATTTGTGAGGGCTTTTGTGTGTCACTTCCATATATCATGAATAAAAGCATTGGACATTTTACATTTCAAATCTTGTGCTCCCTTTCTTTCTTTACATATTGCAAAACAGCTGTATTT